CTATTAGATTAGTGTCGTAAACATCTTCGGTGCATATCTAGAGCTTTGATTTCTGCTTGTTGAGTCACGAATCACGATTTTTGTGTTTCAAACTTTTGTTTTTACACAAAAATGCATCATTTGAGTGTATTTTTATCAGAATTTTGATAGAATGTCTCAAAGTAAATATTCTATAACCTTCTTTTCTCTTTCGAATGACATATCAATCTGCAGCTAAATTGTTATTTAATTTTAAGGAGTACAAAATTGTAAACATGTCAGGAAAATTTGTGTTCAATTATGCGTGATAAAAGAAAGAATGTCTTTGCAGGAAAGAAATTCACATGTAAGTTGAAGACGATCGATTAACGAGTATAACATTACATCAGTGTATAACATCAAATAAAACGTAACCTTACATGAGAATGTCTCAATATATTTTTTGAGAAGTGTATTATCGCGACTTTAAAAAAAAATGAATTGCACTGAGGAGGACTGGTCTATAGAGTGCTCCGATGATGAAAAGTATGAAGTGGATGAAAAGGTAAAATAGTCATTTCACACATCGATCTTTAGTCAAATCCTCTGTTAATTATTTGTAGGTTTGTATAATTTTGTAAAAAGTTTATTATAGTTTATAGAATAAAAATTTATTATACAATTTAATATATTTTTATAACTTTCTGACCAATGTCTTAAATTACATGTAAATTTGTATCGTGTTCATTCTTGACAAATATCTTTATATTTCTTTGTTTGTGCAGCATAAATGGAATATAAAGGCCGAGGACATAGTTTCGCTGATTGAAGGCTTGGAAACAAACAGTTGCGTTCTGGAACTTGAATGGAAGTGCCCTGGAAGACGAGGGCCTTCTCCCATCCCTTCAAATAATTTGCAACAAGAGCTCGAATCTACGGAATATAAGTAATTTACATCAGTAATTTTTAATTTTTCTAATTCAGTTTTTTATATTGATAATATTATCTTTACAGAACCGAGGAGAAGTCTGATGACTTTGATTTCATGGATGAGATGTCATCGCCGAGATTACCCGTTCGGAGAATCGGTGAGAGTACTCCGAAAGGTAGTGCCAAGAAAAAGATTGCCAGTTTTAATGGAGTAATATCTACAATGCTAAGACATCGTAGATTGGAGCAACAAGAAATAAATTCAAGTCCAAAGAAGAGTGAATCTCCTATGTTAAAGCCACATCCTTCTACTTAAAGATACGTTTGTTTTCATTTGTTTTGCAATAATTTATATATGTAGAATAGAAAATTGGAGATAAAATTATTGTATAAATATAAAGACACTGACTTCGTTTACATAGCGGTTTATGGTCTGGTTATTAATAATTTTTTTATAATTACGGTATACTACCTGATCAAGATTTTTTTTATTATGACGATCACTTAAACACGAACGTTTTATTTGATAATTAAACTATAATTTCTAGATATGTATATTGGGTAGTATACGACATTAAATCAGATTATAAGCCGCCGCATGTAAACGTGATCATATGAACAGAAAGAGCGATATAGGGTATTGCACAAAAGAAATATTTTAAGGGGGTTTAGTATGTCTTAGAATAAATTAAAAAAATTAAATAAACACGAGTCTGCAAATGAGTCTATTTTTAGAGACTTATTTTTCAAATTTTTTATTTTTGTTTTAAAACCAACTTGTAACGATTACCGAAGACTCATTGCTCCAGGAAGAAATATTCACACCAATGAGGTAAATTAAATTGTCACATTGCAAATATTTAAAAAATGGCTTATTTGCAGACCCATGTTTATGAAAAGTTTTATGAAACATTAAATTTCCTTAAAATTTTTTAATCTTTTTTAACACCCCGTATATTATACTACACGTTACGATAATAATTATTTATCATATTTTTACTAAAAATTTTATCAAGGAATGGGAACTTAAAATTACTTAAGAAAGAATATCCTCAGTCCTTTGTAAAGAATGAATACACGCATGAATATAAAATTTACATATTAATATTCAAATATTAATTTTTTATATTATATTTCCATACTAGGAATTATTTCTATTCAAACTGCAATGGTTGTTATGAATTGAAGTAACGAGAAAATATCTTCCTGAATAGATATTGGCCAAGATGTTTATATTTTTCTGCTAACATTGTAACAAAAATATATGTAAAGATATATAATATAAATAAAATATATAATATAAATAAAAAATATATACAGGGTGTCATTGAATATTGGGGACTTTTTTGGTGTGCAGGTAGAGCGGACTAGACCGAGTCGAAAAGTCCTGTACCATTTTTCAATTTTCGCAATAGATAACGAGTAATTAATTATTCAAAATTGTCTTAGCCCGGCCCACCTCCCAATTCGAGCGCGACAGGGCTCCTGCGCATTTCTTCCGGCAAGTACGAGGATTTTTAAACGCACGATATCCGGACAGATGAATGGGTCGAGGACGACAGAGCATGGACAATTTTGAATAATTAATTACTCGTTTCTATTGCGAAAATTGCAAAATGGTACAGGACTTTTCGACTCGGTCTAGTCCGCTCTACCTGCACACCAAAAAAGTCCCCAATATTCAATGACACCCTGTATATAAATAAAAATCAAACAAAAGTTTCTACAATTAAAATAGTTGATGTCTTTTATTTTGTAAAATTATTTCTTTTTAAGAAAAATATATAAATAGTATCGAGTGTATGCATGGACATTGTATACATGGATCCACCATGCTCTCTTTAAATTGGTGAAGCCAGCAGAACTAAGAAAGACAGAATAAACGAAGGAGAGTTTGCTTATTGTCACCAGTAATGATTAGAAATGAGACGGGAAACTAATAGTCAACCCAACTGGCTAATTATTTAATCGATTTATTACACAACGTTTCGACTTTATTTTTTTAGTTCTTTTCGAGTGATACTGCAAATCAACAATAACAATGTAGTTATGAACAATGTAAGTTAATAAATAAATAAATAAAAGGATTTTGTTAAGTAGTTAAAAGTTCAGTAACGCACCTGAGTCAATTATCGTCGTCGAATAAGACAGAGTCGAGTTATAAAATATATGTATACGTGTGAGCACTGGTGGTTGGGCTCGAACTAATTTGTTAGTCATGTTTTAAGAACAATACAAGGTGAAGCGAACTAAACAGTCTTGATTACATAGTCATACATTACATTTAGGTTTTCAGTGTCTGTTTGTAAATTAATCGTGTTATCGGTCTTTTTAATAAAAAACATTTCGGTGACTTCTCTTTTTCTTCTAAGGCGTTCGCAATGTAATATTTTTGGTTCCGACCAATTAAACTCGTGATCATGTGATGCACGGTGTTTGCTGACTACGGAGTGGAACCTTTCGTCTTTTTTTTATGTCATTTTTATGTTCTTTGATTCTGGTCAGAAGGTGTCGTTTGGTTTGCCCAATGTAAGAGGCTTCACAGTCATTGCAATTAATACGGTAGATGACTTCAGTTTTTTGTCTCAATTTACTTGATCTTTGCCTCTTTTGATAATTTTGTCTAATTTTTTGGGGACAGTGTAGATGGTGTTTAAACGTGTTTTTTTTTATTTGTGCTAATTTTGTCTGTCAGTCCTTTAATATAGGGGAGGATAATGCTGGTTTTAGGGTCAAAAATTTTTGTATTATTATTAGCGTTGATGCAGTCAGAAAGTGTGGTATCTCGTCTTTTTAATTCATTCAGTCTGATGTTTACGTGTTTGTTAATTATTTTATTAGGGAAGAAATTATTAATTAAAATTTTCTTAACAAGATCGATATTTTGTTTCCAGTATTTTTTGTCAGATAGTAAAATTGCGTACTTTTCCCTGGATTTTTTATCAATCCCCTCGATAGCTTGTACTTCTTTCGACTGTCCCTCGTTTGTCTCGTTCAACACAACTCAGCGCAATTAAGGGGGGAACCTACTTTAGAAGGCCGAAAATAACGTGTTTTTAAGAATTTTTTTCTAAAGGAACAATAATGTTTAGGTTTGTAACACGTTTAGGATGTTTTAATACAACATTTGAACTACAGATACAAATTTCTTCAATAAAAAAAAGTTACATTTTCACTAAGTAATTTAATGTTAACTTTCGTGCGTCGCCATCGGAGTTCTCTAATTTTATGTACACGATTAAGAAAAAACTATTTGACCTATCAACTTCGTTCAAAGTTTTTTAGTTAGATAATAGTCAACCATCCTCGGTAAACTAAAAAAATTAATAAATAGTCACTTTAAACTATTTATTTTTTGCATAAACGAATGGATATTGCCTCGAGAAAATCGTTACTTTTTCTTCAAAGTCGTACAGAATTTGAAGTTTTCTACTTAAGGCTCCTGGGTTGTCACTGCGGCCATATTGAATTTTGACGTCAGAAGCGAGAAATGACACCAAGAATTCTTGCGTGGCATTTCCAAATAAAAAGATATTCGACCAAAAGTACACTTTAGTCCGTTTTAGCACACTTCCAAAAGACTCCGT